CTCTTTGTTAGCTAATTATCAGTTTCTCCATCCTGCCTTGGAACTGAACACTCAAGTAAACACTTTCACTACTCCACTTCAAAACCATTCAAAGGCTCAACTCATAGGACGGTGACTGAAGTAAACACATGTCACGTTCACCTCCCGCAGGTTCATGGTCACAGAGTCACTTAACATAGCAGTGAGACAATAAACCAATCACAGTTCACTTGAGCACTCCACTGGATTGCTCCGGGGATAACATAATTTTGGCATAGAATAGTGTACAGTCTATCGCCTTATTTTTAAACTGCCTACTGCCTACTATGGGCTATGTTTTGTGGGTGCACATTATTGAGATGTGCCGTCTTATTAATATTAATGTACCGCCAAACTCGTTACGAGTGTCGTCATCACTTGGGTTATCCCAAAGAGCGGTTTATAGGTCAGGTAACCACTGTTGAATATCCTATTATGTTTCGCACGTGGACTTGGGCATGCCATAGTAGATCTTTTAGGGTGCTACTGACACTGAAATGCCAGTTAAGGCGCCAGCGAAGACTTTGTTTTGATATATTTGACTAGAGTTTGTTTCTGACATAATATTTTATGTTTGAAGGTGCTTTTCGTAATAGAAAGTTAAAAAATTTGGGGCGGCACTGCACGACCATGCTCTAAGGACGAACCGCGCATGCGTCAAAGGCCAGTGCATGTTGCTTATTTTGTTACTAGGGAAAACTGAACTTGTAGTAAATAACGCCGATAACAACAAATTACCCGTCGCACTCTTTTCAGCTAAACAACAGCTGCAGACAAGACTGGATTTTTCCGCCTCTACAGGAGTAATTCCCGTACAAGCAAGAAGTCTACTCCAGGGCCTTGCTGCCTATTGGTTGCCGGCGAAATTTCATCAAAGATTATTTACCACCGACCCTTAAAACGCATTATTATAATTGATATTGAAAGCTGGCAAGTAGTAGGCACACCTGAGACTAGAAAACTCAAGAGTAGTAACATGGACAGACATACGACTCTGTAGGTGCTGAAAGTGACGCTTCTGTTGATTCCAAGCACCGCCTTGGAGAAAATGGCACAGAAATATCAGAAAATAGACGGAGAGTGGTAAGTCAGTCTATCTATCTATCTATCTATCTATCTATCTATCTATCTATCTATCTATCTATCTATATGTATATATCCATCTATCTATCTATATGTATCTATCCATCTATCCTATACTATCACAATTCTGTCTATTGCCGCTACGAATTATTCAATTAATTACTGAACTATACGATTTTACCATCATTCCTCTTTTCTCGAAACAATGAAGAACTATATTAAGTAGAAACAATAGCAATATAATATAATCTTTGTCTATTTTCCTCTTTTAGTTGCAATAATAAAGATTCAAAATATTTTGGCAGCAATTGTTCACATAAACGGGGCTCTTTTATCATCCTGTCACTTCCAGAGGATATCTTTGTCAATCTTCTAAGACTTTGGAGTTATTATTTCAGCTCCGACCACGCGAACAAGTCCAAGCACTCTTTCTATAATAAAGGTAAGAATGTAACCCTTGAAGTTTTGTTTATATTTTTGACCTGTTGTTGACAAAATGTAGCTTAATAGAGGATTTTCAAACTGCGAATTATGTTAACAATTAAAAACCTTTGAATGTATGTGTGAGTGGTCTTTGGAGTGGGAGGGGGGGGGGAAGCAGGTTTCTTATCAATTCTTGGGAAATCATGCATAGCGTCTGTCTCAGTGTAAACTTTTTTCTGGTTTGTCCCTACAACTACATCGATTAATTGTAAATTTTGTGACCAGCCTAGTTTTGTTCATTTTTAGCACACATAGCGTTAGTGATCCCCTCACCTTCACGCTCACAAACACGTATTCTATGTCAATATACCCCAAAATCCACACCATAGTGATTATTCTGGGAAAGGAAAATTGTATGATTTACACCTCCTACCATCATGGGTGACCGGAAGAAAATTTTCTATATTCAGAGGCCGATTTAAACGATATTCAACTATTATAATTGAACATCTTTGAGAATATAGCATTATGTGAAAGTTCATCTCAATATATCCTTATTAAAAGACAATGCATCGAAGCACACTTATCTTTAGCAATAACTAGAGTGAAGGAAGCAATGTGAAGGCGCATTTTTTAATCGACTTCAACATTAATTGATTTTTATTTAGTTTATTATTTCAAATGTTGTTCTGTCTCCTGATCCTAGTTGTGAAGCGCAGATAATCTAGAAATTTGATTAAAATATATAACCATTCTCACGATTAAATTTTCTAAATGCACTGGGCAGAACAAGACAGGGCTTTTCTGTGACGTACTGTCTTCCATCTGGTTCGGTCGAGAAAACTGTTGATCACTAGATAATGATACTTATGGGTATACATGTATATGCAAACGGAATCACTATAGCAACAAAAACAATGGCACGATGAGTTTAAAAGAAACAATACTGGCTCGTTAATAATAATAATAATAATAA